CTCTGTCTTCTGCTCTCATGGTTCTGATTAGTCTGAACCCGCCCCTTCAGACGTCCACAGATCAGGATGTGTTCAGCTGATAACCAGCTCAGTGCTACCGCTGATCCTGGTTACCATTGCTGTGCACTGGTTGAACTGGATAGACTGGGAGGACTCCCAGTAGGTTGAGGTGACTGGTCAGATAGTCCTGATCCGTTTCTCTCTTCATTTCAGGTCTTTATCAGCCTGTTGTCCTTTAAAGATCGGACGAGTTTAAAGTAGAGAAGTGGAAAGTTTTACTGCATAAAAACGTTTGTAAAGTTCTGCCAGTCAGAAAGCAGCATTTCATTAAAGTTCAGTGACACGCAGGTTTATTAGCCGACGGTTCCACGTGTTTTCAGGTAGAACAGATTCTATGCATAGACCCCAGAGGTCAGTCTGTTAACATCATGTCTTCTTTGCAGTGGACGACATAAAATCCAAATTCAAGAACCTTCGAACCGTTTTTAACCGGGAGTACAAGGCCGTCCAGGCCAACAGAGCCTCCGACAAACCCCACGTGTCCAAGTGGAAGCACTACCACCAGATGCTCTTCCTCTGCGAGTCCTTCGAAGAAGACGAGTCTGCTGACGACCTGCAGATCGTGATGGTTCAGGAGGGAAGGGACCCGGAGCGTCCGGATCACGGGAGCCAGACTTTATCCACCGGCTCCTTCAGAACCAGCAGCGCTGCTGATCAGAGTGAAAATAAAACCTTCACCTGCTCTGCGTACCAAGTTCTCCTGGCTGCAGCTCCAGACCAGTTCAAACCAGTAGATCACAAAGCTCCTCCCACTGTCCTCAGCTCACCGGACAGGAAGACCTGCAGGACCTGGGTCCAGGCCGGAGACAGGATGACCTCAGAGCCTCGGTGCCTCTGGAGCGAAGCCAAAGTTCAGCAGCTCATCTCCTTTTATGCAGGTCGGTTTAAAATCCACTTTATTCAGGAGAAAAAAGGTTTAAACTGTTTATGAGTTTAACCCATTTGATTGTGATCAAACCAAATAAAATCAGCAGGAACTGGATTCCTTCTGAAGTCAACTCTAAATATGAAACATTGAATATTTAATCTCAGTGTCAAAGCAGCTGCAAAAAACTATAGAAATAAGTAAAAATGTCTAAAAAATAAATGTATTTAACCTTAATTTGAGCAGCAAGATGATCTGCCAATGGAATGAGGATTTTTACTCTTAAAATAAGATAATTAGATAAAATGAGCTTCAAATTAGACAATGCCATTGTTATATTATAGTTTATGACTGTGTCCCTCGGCTGCGGGGTCCCTCAGGGGTCTATATTCGGCCCCTTGGGTCCATTTTTCAGAAATTTGTCGTTTCTCCATTATGCTGATGACTGCCATGTTTATTTTCCTGCGTAAAAGCAGGATGCTAACCCGCTAATTCTCTGCTAAAATGTCTGGAAGCTCGAATGGCTTCAATAGAAAGAAGATTTGAATCATATGGAGTGAATTATTGTTTCAAACAAATAAAATCTGATTTATGAGTAAATTGGATTAGATCACGTTCTCGTTTTTGCTAAAGTCCAACGACCAATAGAAACCCGTCTTTTCTCTTTGCTCCAGAGGAAAGACCTCCCCCAGAAAAATCCAATCAGTCAAGAATAAACTTAGAAAGCAACATTTGAAAAGTGTGAAGATATAAAAAATTCAGAAAATGTGAAAAAATTTGCAATCATCAAATCAAAAAAATAATTAGAAAATAATAATATTTGAAAAGATCAAAACTGGGAACAAAGCAAAGTT